TATTTTAAAACGTTAGGTCTTTATTTAGAAATAATCACTGAAAATTTTGACATTTCCCTGAGGTCAGTGGATAATTATTCAGTGAATTAATCTGTAATAAAGAGTAGGGGTTCTTTTTTGTCCTTAATTACATGAGCGAGTCATCTACATTGATGAAATTTATTTGCCTTCAACTTTCCTGATTTTCTCAATATTATTCCTGATTATATATATCAATAAGCTCTGTATTCCTGTGTATCTGTGCACAAAAATTTAACCCAAAAGCAATGAAAAATATGGTTAAAAACACTTTTAGCAGCAATGAGTGGTTATAATCATCTTCTGAAGAGCTGGATTCGTCCACTGACTTTTTCTCTCTTCCTTCATTGTGACAGCGCATTAAAGTTTCATCTAAAATATTTGTGTTTTGTTTATGGTCCACTGAGAAAATAAATTCTCCCAGGAGCAAAAGACATGCTGGTGTAATGCTATCGAGAGATGTGAACCACTATAATATGTATTTAATAAATTGCCAATATAAAGTAGAATCACAGCTATTTAAAATGGCAACATATTTATTCATTCTAGCACTAGGAAACAGAATACACTTGATCACATACACCCATCTTTACATTAGGTTCTCCCTTTCAGTCCAAGGAGTATATGGAAAGTGCAAGTAGCATTTCTCCTGAGGGCATTAGTCAGACAGGAAGATCAAAGATGAGATACTTTGCATGAGCACATTAATAGAAACCACAGTAACAGCTGAGCCATGAGGCACTGTACATGTGCACAAAGTGTCAGCCTAAGGGGGCAGAGCAAAGGTGTGATGTAAGGAAGACTGGGTACTACCGATAGTTTTGCTTTCTATAGTTTCAGTTACCTCCAGTCAAAGATGATCCAAAATTTTTAAATGTAAAACTCCACAAATAAATAATTCATAAGTATTAAATTGCACGCCATGCTGAGTAGCATGACAAAAACCTTGTACTATACCGCTCTATCCTGCCCAGGGTGTGAATCATCCCTTTGTCCAGGTGTATCCATCCAGTATACGCTACCTGCCTGTTAATCACATAGTAGCCCACTCAGTTACATGATTAATTGATGAGGCATCATAGTGTTTATGTTCAGGTAAACTTTATTTTACTTTTTAATGGCCCCAAAGTGCAAAAGTATTGATGTTTGCAATTCAGATATGTAAAAGAGAAGTCATAAAGTGCTTTCCTTAGGTGAAAAGAGATAAGTTTATCAGAGGCATGTATGTATAGGAAAAAGCATAGTACATATAGAAAGAGTTCAGTACTATTCACAGTTTCAAATATCCACGAAGGGTCTTGGAAGGTATCTCTCATGAATAAGGAGACACAGGTGTACCTCTGCTCTCTTGGACTTGGGAACTATTCCATAAAAATTGACTAGACCATGTCTCAATGCAGAATTTCTTAGGCAAATGTATTTTAACATTTAAAAATATGTGTCTTGAAGTGATGCATAAGTAAACTGAATGGACCTTGGTATTTATTAATACAAACATATTTACATCTTCTCAGGTTTCATGAATGCTTGGGATACAGTTTGCACATTTCAGTGAGGGTAGAACACAATGTCCCACCTGAGGCTGATGAATTCAATGATAGGGGTAGCTTGAAAAGCAAGAGAATAGCCGAGGGTTGCTGAATGTTTGAGGAGTCAGAAAAGTTAAGGCTTACGTTGGAAGAGGGGAACATTAATTTTTTAAAGGAGTACAATATTAATCTTACTTCATAATAATGCCTAGAAGCCACCTTGGACTAAGAATTTTGTAGCTCACACAGGGGGTGGGGGGGGACAATTAACCATGAATTTCCTAAGCCATGGTTCAGTTGATCCGTTTTCTTGATCTATTGCACTGTTAATGTACTTTTAAATTAAAATGTTAATGTATTTTAAAAATCTACCCAGAATAGAATTTGTTTATTTTGCATTATTCAACCCGCAAATCATCTATCCCTAAATCACAGGGGATAGAGGGATCCTAACTGATATAATAGCAATGTCTTTATTTCTTCAACTCTTTTGAATCCATCTTCATTTTATTATTATCATGTGAGTCTCAAAAATACTCCAAAATTATTTGTTCCTTATGCTCCCAAACTATTACCAGTATGCAGATAAGAATAATCCTTTTATTTGACCTGTGGTACATATACACTTATCAAATACCACATATTAAATCATAGGCACATACCAAGTCTTGCTCTAACCTAGAAGACATCCTGATTTTACCAATGGCCGTTTTCATGGGAACTATGACTTGTTTTTAAAAATCAAGAAATTGTAAGAACAACATAGTAAACATTAATAATTTCTTTTCCTTGGTAAAGATAAGCCTAAATTAGTATAAGCCATAAATATTTATTCATAACCACATCCAAAATATTTTTCCTAAATGAAGATATTCTGATATGAACTGCTAGTGACTGTCAAGCCCACTGATGTTGTAATGCATTTCTGAAACATGTTATAATCATCAAGCCTAAATACATCGTTAATTAATTAAAACAAATGCTGACATGAGTACGCAGATCAAAAGGAAAACTATCTTGATATATTGCTGTTCACATTAGGCCTTCACCTTTTTTTGCAGAAATCTCCCAGAGATACTACAAAACCATCAGAGTCGGCTACATGCTAAAGCTTCTGGTTGAACTCCAATAGCCTGTGTAATATCCTGGATTATAAATCACTGTTACATTCTGTGCATCTATTTATGTTGTCCATGAGAAGGACTGAAGAAAAGTATGCTGAACAATATGTTTAGGGCTCACTGATTAGAAAATATACATGATATTTTCAAAACAATGAGAAAATATTTTCAGCACTTCTCCATACAACATGTAGACAGTTAGGGAGAATTATCATATTTAAAAATGAAGACCCCAAACAAAGATGCCTACCTCTAATCATTTTTTAAGTTCAGAAAAAAATTACGAAAAGCACTTAAAAGTCTGAAAGTACGTTAAAAATATAAAATATTATTAGTAGTATTGTATTGCTTTACATGATGCAAGCTTGATTCTTTATTATTCATTTGAATGTATCTGTGCCTTTGGTTTCCCACTTACCTCCCTGAATTTCAGTACTAATTTCTTCTTCTTTAAAATATGTATGCATTAAATATACATTAAATATATGACTTTGATTTCTGTTGTTATTTTCATTATTACACATTATTGATAGGTTAGTCTATTTATTTCTTCTAGTGGATCCTGGACTTATACTTGAATTTTCAGAAATTGAGATTATTCAGTGAAGACTCTGGAAGACTGAGACCTTGTGTCTTTGCCACCGAATTCCTCTAAGTTTATCAAAAATGTTTGATGGCAGTAAGAAACTCCACAATTTCCTGACTTTATTTTCCATGGAGTAAAATTTGAAAAGTATTAGCTTTCACACGATAGTCGTCGCTCTCCTTTTGTTTTCTTGTTTTTTCACTCTTCTTGCAAGTTAGATCCCTTTTTTCTTACTGTCTTTTCTTCTACCATCTTCCCTGACCCATTCCTTCTAACACACCTTTTCTCTTCTCTTTGGATTATTAAAATTCTAGTTAGTTGCTAAAGTTTCTTACTGGTACCTGAAAAGAAACTACCAGGAGTGCTCTTCCTGAGAACTTTCATAGTTTAAAATAATCCTCATTTGGTGTTTATGTGAGTGTGGTCCACATATAGGTAGAGGGGAAAGTTAAACACATAATCTTGGCCCATTAGAAGCTAGGGTTATCAATGACAGACAAATATGAATGACACAGACAAATCAAATTATTTTAACATGAAACCAAAGTTAAGTAAGAAATTCATAACACCCAAATAATAAAGTTATTCATCTGTAGCCAGTCAGTATGTATAGATATGAACTAATGGAGAGTGGGTACCATGTATTACGATTCTCTATATCCTTCAAAACATAGCCCAGCTCTTCAGATACACCAGGCACTTACAAGGGGCTTGAGTGAACAACACAGATCATTAAATTGGTGACAACACCAAAAACATTAACTAAAATTACTTGAAACTATGATCCAGGGAATTAAAAAACCCAAAGGAATATGAATTCACACACAAAACACCTACCCCGCCCCCACAAAGAAATAAACATGAAACTGGAGATTTATACAGATACACAAAAGAAAAACCTATGAAGATATAAATAGAGAAAAAATGATTGTTTTACAATTTCAGTTGGCAGGAAACAAAAAACAATCAATACTTTTCCCTTATTTTCACTAACCCAAGTTTCCAGGAATTGATTATAGTAAACATGTAACCTATGCATAGCTGTGCAATTAATATTTATAGTGAGATATTGACTTATTATGTGTACTTGGATAGGTCATGTTATTTTACCTAAACCTCTGTGTCCCTGAAGTGACAATACTCTGCCTTCTCATCCACCTCCTCTGCAATGATGCTCTGCAAATGAATGAGGTAATGTTTGGGAAATGTTAGCAGCTTGGAATAGAAACCCAATACACACATCTAAATATTATTACTATTCCATATTTGAGCCTGGTATATTATTGCCTACGGTTTTAAATGAAAATTGCACTGTTTGAGTCCTTGAGTTCTGACCAAAATCTGGGTCAACCTAAGAGTAAGATTCTTTTTAATCTTAATATGAGGTTCTGTTCGTCTCCCTTGCACATGTAAGGGAAAACTAGGAAATAAACAAAGCACATAACTCAAGCTTTTAAAGAGAAAAATCTCTATCTGGATTTTTTTTTTTTTTCAATGAGGAGCCTGAACACTCTATTTCCCTGGAGGAATATTTTGGTTCAGGAAAGAGGGTAGTGCAAGCAGTGTGAGCGTGTGTGTGTGTGAGAGAGAGAGGGAGAGGGAGATCGCGCGCACGCGCGCGGGTGTGTGTGTGTGTGTGTGTGTGTATGTGAGAGAGAGAGAGAGAGTATGTGTGTGCTGTGCGTGCGCGCCCGCGGAGAGAGGGGCGGGGGAGGCGGATGAGGAGGATGAGATCATAGTTTCAGGATCCTCAGGAAACCCTGGTACTGGCAGCAGCCAGCCTCTGCTGTGCCCACATGACCCACAACTCTGGCAGCGGACCCGGCACTTCCAACATTATTAAATAATAAGAAAGCGGCTCCTACTCCATGTCCAAACCTCCCTACAGACCAATGGACACCTTCTAAGAGTTTGGCGAGTCGCAGATTGAGGCGCCCGTCCATTCCAAGGTGTGTGCTCGGCGATTTCTTCCTTGACAGCTCCGGAGTGGGGGAGGGCGCGGGCATAGAGGGGGTCGGTGTGCCGGGCGCGGGGAGTGGGCGCGGGGCCGGGCGCTGCGTACTGCCCCGGGCCGCCGGCTGCCTGGGAGCCCGCCGCGGGGCTGGAGGTGCACATGACGCGCAGCCCCAGCTGCGCAGGGACCGCAGCCGCCCACGGCGCTGGGGCGCGGGCACAGGCGACTGGGCAATAGAGCAAGGGCAGGCGCCGCGCACCGAGCAAAGTCAAGAGTGGAAGCCGGCGGAGAGTGCCCGCGGGGAAGGGATTCACCAGAACGCCCACTCGCGGGGTTCCCACCTGTGCGCGGGCGCTGGCCGCGGCGAGCGAGCGCGAAGCATGTGCCGGGCGCCGCAGCCAGGACTGCGGCGCGGCGCCTCCCCGGGCGGCGGGCGGCGCCTCGGGCCCACGGGGCGGCGGTAGCAGCTGCTGCAGGATGGCCAGCCCGGGGGCGCGGGGCCGCGCAGGTAAATCACCGCCGCCCGCAATGGCCCCGACAGCGCAGCAACCCCTGGCTGCTGTCCGCCGCGGCAACGCTCCTGGGGTGGCGATGGCAGCCGACTCCCTCGTAACGCGGGTTGAGTTGTTTTGTTGGGTTTGTCCTCTTGGTGGTCCTCGTGGGCTGAGCTGCTGGGAGGTGGCGTGGCCACCTCCATTAAGGATGACACTCACGTTGGGAACAGTCGGGGTGGTGGGGGCGGGTTGACCAGGGAGTCCGCGATCTCTTCCAGCCCGCGGCGTCTGCGAGTGTTGCAATGCACCGCGGTGCAGGCGGAGGGCTGAGTGGGAGTGGGCGATGGGGACTGGGGGCGGCGGGGCGGGTGGGCGCGGTGCTCCAGTGTCTTCAGCTTTTATAGCCTGTTGCCCATTTCCGAGTTTTTGGCTGGACAGAAGGCATTTATTCTGGTACCCAAAGTGTGAGGAGGGGAAGAGAGGTGTCTGTCAGAAGACAGAAGCCAAAGAGGAAGAGGGACTAAAGGGTGCTGGGACTCAGTGGTACCATTACTGGTACTTGACAGTAAAACTTTGCTGTTCGGCAGGCTCGGGGCATGGCTTTGGGAACAGAAGTGCGAAGTGTGAGTGTATGGGGATATTAGATGTAAACTTTCAGTAAAGGATATCCCCGATTACTTCATTCTTACTCTAAGTAAGTATAAAAAAAAAAAAAAAAAAGTCTTTAAAGTTGATATTTACATTCACATTTTTCTTTTACCCGTCATGGTCACTTGATATTTAATGTGTTTGTTTCCTTTTAAAGAAAAAGCTGTTATTGTTGTAGTATTCGTAGTTATTAACCCACTAAGTTCCATCTTCCCAGATGTGGGACACCTATTTAAAAAAAAAGTAAGCAACAAATAAATATACCACTATGACAACTGCTGAAATAAATGTTTCTAGAGTTCTATTCTTTTGAATGATTAGAGCATTTGAAAATGTAAATATGTTTCCACATATATGAATACGTAAAAAGGATTTAGAAGCTCTATATTATGATTTCCAACCAACTTATTATGCACCCGTGTCAATTTCATTGAAATATTGGCAACATTGAAAATTTGGAACTCAATGGGTTAATTTCTTTGGCAAAAATATGCCTTTTATTCTTGTCCTAAAGGTAGAAACTTTAGAACAAAACATCTCCCCACATGTTCCACAGTTCCATGTGGTTTAGCTTTATTCATTTTCTTAACTCTTACACCACCATGAGTGGGAGAAAATAAAGTGATCCACATTTATAAATGAGAAAAGTCCAGGCAGAGATGAGTAAAGTAACATAGCCAAGGTCATACAGTTATTACTTGTTGGAAACCAGTTACCCTTTGGTGTGTCCTTTTACAATTCGCCCTACCTAAATTCTTCTATACTTTATATTTTCCATCTCTTTTTATGAGCTGAACCTCTTAACTGACTACATGCTACACATTCAGGCCAATGAACTCTTTTTCCAATTTTAATATTATGATTATGGCAAAAACTCTTTGAGTAGTTTTCCTTTGCCACAATTTCCTACAATAATTATAGACTAAAGTCACATTGAACAGCAAAGATGTTCAGCAGTTAACATTTATCAGCAAAAAATTATTGTAAAATAGATGGCTGAAGCTATGTATTTGTTTACACTTAATTTTAAACTTCCTAAGTTATTAAAATCTATTCTTTGTTCAAAACACGACCCTCATTTCCTTCAGAACACTATTTTGCAGAATTTTTTAGCCAGTTTAATTATCATTAATTCAATCACTCTGACAAGAGTTCAGGCAGTTTTAAAAGAAGAATTATACAATTCTCTTTCAACTGTCAGTGATTAAAAAAAATAGGGTATATTTTGAGGGCATTCATGTACATCATGTCTTTTAGTCAGTTTTATGTCCTTTCTGCAAAATTGTGTAGCAATGAAGACTGAAACCAAATTTTCTCATTAGTTCTAAGTTGAAATACATTTAACATCTCCTCTTGTTTTAAATGAACCATGATGTAAAGAAAGGTCTCACTAGGGTAAACTCTAACTTTACATATTTAGAAAATTACTCTTCATTTGAGCTTAACATGGTGTGTTCATAATGTTCATTTTATTGGACAGATGTCTCAAATCATTTTTAAAAATATATTTAGTTGTCAACAGACCTTTGTTTTATTTATTTATATGTAGTGCTGAAAATTGAATCCAGTATCTCACACTTAGGCAAGTGCTCTACCACTGAGCCACAGCCCCCATCTCAAGTCTTTGTTATTTTTTCAAGTAAACTTGTGTCATCAATAATGAATTTCAAATTTATTTTGACGTTCATAAATTTCCTTTCATTCTTATCTTTCCATTTAATTAAACCCAATATACATAATTTTTCAAACCATATTTTCAACTTCATAGGAGATAAAAATCCAACTGAATTATCATAAACATGACCTGGAGGCATAAGAATAACTATCTTGCTCTTCAATGGTTAACTCCCTGTGCCCCATCCTTGAACACATCTGAATTGTGTCCACATCTTTACTTGGGGATGCTAGTGGTCACGGTGATTATATACCATCAAGAACAAGCGTTTTTGATGTTAGAATTAAATTTGAATTTTCTCAATGTTGCATAAAATATTGTTATTTAATATTGTTATTAAATCCCATGATACATACATAGACCCTTTCTTAACTGACTCAAAACTGTTCCAGTTTTCTAGCTTCTGTTACTTATTTTAGAGACAGCATTTTCTTGCTAGTTTGATCTCACATGGTGGTTCTGACCTGACTTTTTCCTTTCAAGTTCACCCTTCTGGTTTGGGGAGAACTATATCTTGTCTACCTCTGAAGAGTCCATCAGTTCCAGACACTGGGCAGTGAACTGGGCATCAGGGTTGAGCAGAAAAGTGTGTGGGCCCTGATAGTTCAAAGGACAAGTTTTCACAAGATAATTATAAAAATAAGAGATTATTTTGAAGTTAATGTAAGTTTTCTGAACAAAGGAAGGAATTCTATGAAAATATATAATAGGAGATTGTATATTAGACACTGAGGTCAGAACAGGATGCACAAAGTAAGCGAGAAGTCATATATTTGTGGAGGAATGATGTGTGAGGAGGAGTTTGTCAAGTCTAGTCATCTTCCTAAATGCTTGAATGTTAATTTTCTGAGTCAGGGACAGGAGTCTCTCTCCAATTATCATTTTACTTACCTATTCATCAGGAGTCCTGTTATTTCCTCTGTATCCACCTGTACACCTGGGGAGGTTTATAACACTCCTTTCAATACTTTTTAAAGTACAGAGAGCATGTACTACTCTTTTCTGGCTGTCATCCAATTTTCAAAAAAGTTATTTATGTTTAATGAAAAATAGTCACTTTCTTTCTTTGCACTAGCAACTTTCAAAATTTTTAAATTGTAGGTTTGTGAATGTAAGGTATTTTGTTGTTGTTGTTAAGGCTGCAAAATGTCTCCAGCAGAATTTTAGTGGGTTTATTCTATAGTCCCTTAGATTCTCTGAAGTGCCCAAGGGAAAAGAAGAGGTTTCAGAGTAAGAGGGATGAGGTTGAATATTGGATATGCTGAGGAGATGGGTATTAACAAGGTTAAGCAATATAGTGACTAAATTTATTGGACACTACTGTGTACTGGATATCATTGTATGGACTCTATCTGAATTCATTGATGTATAATTCACAATAGCCATATGAGGTTTGCCTGAATTATCATCATCTATTATCTTCTATTTTATAGCAGGAAGAACTGGAATAAAAGCATGACTATAACCATGACCATTGTCACATTCTTAGAGATGGGTTTTAAACTTATAGTACTATTGATGAATAACATCTGGTTCAAAAAATTTACTTCTGCACCAAATTCCCATTATTGTTGAAAATCTTGACACCTCCTAACCTGATATTTTGATTCTTTTTCCTTAATAAAAATTTGTGGAAAAAATGGAACATGCTTTATGTCAATGCTTTTTGCCCCATGTTTTATAGACAAAAACATATAAAACAAGAAAAGAGATATGTGAATACCTGGACAAGGACTGGTGACTACTAGATTATGAGAAATTCCTAATTATATATGATATATTTTGCAGAAATGGTCATTTGAGTACCATTTTTAAAAATTAAAATTTTTAGGGCTGGGGATGTGGCTCATGCGGTAGCGCGCTCGCCTGGCATGCGTGCGGCCGGGGTTCGATCCTCAGCACCACATACAAACAAAGATGTTGTGTCTGCCGAAAACTAAAAAAATAAATATTAAAATTCTCTCTCTCTCTTTAAAAAAATTAAAATTTTTAAAATGAACAGTAAACACATTTAGAATTCCAAATAATTAGGGAAATGTTTTGAATACTTACAGGTTCTATGACCTTTAATAAACTTAAGAATTTTAAATTACTGTGTTACATTTTTCTGGTTTCTTTGTCTGGCGCATGCATTGAAAAGAAGATGTAGAGTCTAATCTCAACCTGATGATTTATCTT